GAATGCGTGCCGCATCTCACGAAGGGGTTGATCATCGGCGATGACTTCATCCTTTTATCCTTCAAATAAAGCGCTAAGAGTACTAGCGTCTATGTGAATGGGCCTTTTCGGGCGAGTGGTTGCGGTGGGTTGGTCTGGGTCGGCGTGTTGCACCGTGGTCAAGCGCTTGGTTGGAATACTATGGGATGTGATTTTCTTTCATGTTAGGCGACCAATCCTGTACGCCTGTCGATTTATCGCGCCTTGCTTTTGGGAGCTCAGCACCGACATTCAAGAGGATCAACCTTAGGTGATAAAGCGGAAGTCTCAGAAACTCCGAAACGTGGTAACTGCACATAATGCGGTTCAGCTAGGAGGTATTTCTTAGCGTTGAGAATTGTTTGGTACGTAGTCTAGTGGGTTGTGACCGTACGCTGCCCAACCTATCTGAGCCATCAACGAAATAGCCTTCGCTGCCACGCCTATAGTTTATGTCGTCGCAATCAGTCGGTGTGGTGCCAGGTGAAGTGGGGAAGGCCCGCCCCGGCTGCTTTTTCTACCAATAGTGACTGGTTTGCCAACGATTCAGAAAGAAAATAACCAGCGGTATAAAGTGCCGCGAGCTCCTCATTCCACGCATCGTGAAACTGCCCGACTGATTGAAATTGTATCAACTGTACACCAAAATCGGTAGACTCTCCCTGTAAATAGAAGAATCCATACAGCTTTCCTCAAGTTGCTCCCCAGAAGGGGTTAATTTTCGTACTACTAGATTGCATTCATCTTGAAAGTGAACGCTTTGCGTTCCCTTCCTTATCAGACGAAAAAAGGTTCACAGGGCGTTGATATCTTGTACCATGTGACGATTGATTATCTATCACCTGGAAAAGCACTACTTGTCAATTTCACTATTTACGAGCGAAATTCCCTGAGAAATTCTTCTATTTGTTCGGATGGCACCCATTTTCACACCTCTTCTTATTTTAATATGTTTTCTGGGATGGAGCAATGCCTACAAGATGGTTCTTTTTGTTCCCGACATCACAAACAGTCAGGTGACATCCTTTGAAGAGCTGTAGTGGCAAATCGTTAAGCATTCAGTTTTGAAGGTAATTTTCAATAGCCGAATAGCAGAAACTCTTGTGAAAGCCGGTCATGACGTCACAATGGTACTAATCACAGGATTCGCTGACAGAGATTCCAGTGACGTGAAAATCGTGAAAGGGGTTTCAGGCAAGTCATCTGACAGGCTTCTTACCACTATTTGTTCAATTATTTATTTATTTCTCTCTCCTGTCTCTCCAGACTAAGCAGGCAGCGCTCAGACTTTGCTATGACCCGAGGAGGGTAAGGAACAGGAGGGTGGGCAGAACTATGTGACAGACAGCGTATCCCTCTGCTCTCTTAAACTCAGCACACTAGGGTCGGCACCGAATTACGGCTGCGTTCTTGTCTGTAGTATTTCAACGTTATTGCCGTGGTAGCGCGACGACGCGCGATATCGCGTAATCTAAATCTGGCGATAACTCAAATCTCCTATTTTTCCTTCTGAATTGAATTGAAGTGACCGGTCCGTTAGGCTGCGATTATACTTTGCGGCAGCGTAAACGAACGTCCGCCAGAGACCATCAGCGTCGCGAAGGACCGTATCCTGGTGCTGGTGCGCGCTGGTGGCCAGTGGTGGCGCTGGTAGACGCTAAATCGATATTCGTACTTTCCTAGTCCCTGGAGACGCTGATGTTTGATGGGGGACGCTAGGGGACGCTGCCGTAAAGTATGAAAGCAGCCCTAGGTTCTGTTCAGCGTGCAAAGATAACGAAGTGTTGCGGCCGTTGCTCGGTCCGAATACCCTGATTCCGCTCCAATCTTAATTCTGTTGTTACTATCTTGGAGCAGGAAACAGTGTCATCGAACACTTTCCTATCCAGTACGTTGTTCACGTTGAAACGATATAAGGGATTTGGTAAACTGGGTAAACATGGTGGGTCCCTTGGATCAGGGTAACATCTGTGCATCAAAATTCTTATGGAACTTTGCTGAACCTTTTCGATTTTTCCTTTTGTGGACTCTTCTGTTCTGGGGTTCCACATCTATAGATTAAGCGAAGTTTTGTTGATCTCCTGAGCATGATAGTCCTGAGGTAGTAGACTATTTCACAGGTATTGGAGTCAAGTTGAGGAGAGAAAGACAAACTCTACCACGGTATTTTTCGGCAGTCTACGGAGGTCCTCTTGACAATTTATCAGATGCAAGCAGGCAGTCAAATTACGGGTGGAAGACTATACCGTCCTCTTCAGGAGCTTGAAACTTTGGCACACCACTACTGAGGATTTGTCGACGCGGAAGGGTCATACTTGAAGGTAAAGCCCGCGATCACTCGCCATCACAGATAGTGGATTAGGAGCTTTCATACAGACGAATAGTCTTCTGAGTAACTCGATAGTGATGAAGTAGCGGGAGAAACATGGGCTATCGCCCTAGATATTAGGTTGTTGCATAAGTTCTTTCCCCGACTTTTTGTAAATATCTCAATAGCGAACCAGCCTGAAGATTAGAGGTATGCACCATCACCATCCACTACTCGACGCCAACGCTCAGGCAGCTTGTCGATTCCATCGTTCCAGAAGGACGGGGCTGGGACCCGAAGACTACAATGCCGCACAATCACCACTGTGACATGGTTTTGCACTGGAAATTGTGCTGCATTGTAGCCTGCAAATGCAGGGTGGGTGAGTGATAGCTAGTGTGATGAAAGAGTATCATGTGTACACTCTCTCATTCATTTACGGACTGTCGCGGGCGAGTCAAGTGGGCTGCGTTTTCCACGCTCGTAGCAAAGTCTTTCTGCACCAGTTGTTGCACAGATGAGCCAAATACATGACAGCATTATATCCTTCGTATTACTCGTTTTCTACCACTTTTTGTCGCATACGCGTTTCAACGAAAAGGCTGAGAACGGCTTCAAACAGTGTGCGCACTCCTACTGGCTGATACGCCCCGACAGTCCGTAATGAAAAGGAGAGTACATTCATGCGCGCGTTATGATCGGAAATAACCAACCTCCACGCATAACGAAATACGGAAGGATCAACATCAGAGGGGAAAAGAAAGTTATTGCAAACCTAATAAAAACCCTGCATCCGCATCCCAAGTTTTGTGCGTGGCCCATTCAACTCCATACTTCCAACAAGTACGCCCTTCAGGCACACAGCTTGATTCCTCAGGTATGAATCACTAGGCCCCACAAGTGACGATCTTGCATGCGTTTTCGTCCCTTCGCTTCGTTTCTACTGAGAGACCGGGCCTTGAAGCGGAGTCTGGAGTGGCAGTCACTGGAAATAAGGAGGTCGTCAGTTGAACGCTTTATTACGGTTAGCGGCTCTACCTTACCAGTTATTTTGCCCTCGAAACCGGTACAAGTTTCGTCCAGACCAGGATACCCTCCCGAAGCCAAATATATATATTATTAACCCTATACTGATCGCGGACCTGCCTACCTTTAGGTGTCAAGAAGAACTGTGGATTCGGACATGTGAGCCAGTTCAGTGATTTAAATCACACCTTTGCAGCACGTTAGTTGATCGTTTAAGATCAAAGCTCTTCGTCAATACTCGGGTCTTTCCGCCAGTTTCCATACCCACACCTTTCGAGTGGAATAGGGGATTGTGGCGAATCTGTCGTCTTTCCATGTTAGTTTCGAGCACCAGACTACAAAAATCTGTTTCAAGACGAAGTCGATCAAGCTGTTGGTCAGAGGGGAAATCTGTTTCAAACTAGTGTAAATTTTGATAGCAAGCTCACAAAAAGTATTCAGAAGCTTAGACCCCACCGCCAAGGAACTGCGACTGCGGAATTTATCTCTAGCCATGAGAAAAGTGCAGACTTCATTTATTCATCTCATCGAACTATCAGTAACAAAAGTTCCCAATATTCTCTGATTTCAGTCCGTCATGTGAATGCGTCGTTTGGTGTGAGGAGAAACGAGCTCCTGAAAGAGCGTACCGAGTTCATTTACGAGGTAACCGCTCACTTGAATAATCAATAATTACTTTATTTTCTATGCACAAGAAAGTTTGAAGAACAAGTTGTGCTATTGTCTGAAATATCGCATCCAGGATCTTCCTATGTGGGACTCAAGGATGCGAGAAACCATGAATAAAATGACGTCACTTTTCATTGGAACATGCCGCAGTGAGTTCAATTATTCATTTCCTCACAACTGACCGTTTATTCTGCAATTCAGTCAAAAGAGCCATCATGGCCACCACCAGCTACAGTCTTGTTCGCTGCGAACGTTGGGGCGTGTTATAGGAGGGGAGGGGGCTAGGGGGACGAGGGGGGGGGGTAGAGAGAAGGCTTCGATGAGGCGTTCGCTTATTCTTCACCAAGTGTGATTGGCAGGCGACCACAATTGGGTGGAAACCTAAGTGGTTTCATGCCAGATCCAGCCCAATGACACGCCCCAGCGTACGCTGCGAACCAAGTAATACACCCGCGTCGTGTGGAGGCGTTCCTGTACGCTTTGACGCGGCGCCAGCTGATTTTCACTAGTCGTTGCTATGGGGAGGATAACCATTGTTGGGAATCGAAAAACCTCTGTAGTGGGAAGGCCTACAACTAACGCCCCGGAGATCACTGTAAGTAATCACATGCGTCTTTGAGAAAAAGGGTTGAAAAATGAACAGCAGTCACAGGGTATTCTCATGGATTCCCGCTGTCCACTTCCATGGACACTAACAGTGTCCTAGTGTAACATGTATTTGTATTAGTGCAACGGTATACAAACTTTTAATACGAAGTCTTAAGACAGACCGCTCTTAACGCTTCTTCTCCGGAGAATGCGCACATTTAATGCGGTAGAACCCACTCAAATACTACAGCGTCTCCAAAAGAAGTTGAATGCGTAGCGCATTCCAGAATGGGATTATCATAGTGACAAATGCTTCATATTTGGGCAAATTTTGTTAACAAATGACTTTAGCATGAATTTCCTACATTTGAGAACATATTTTTCAGAAGTGGTAGAGAACAAAGAATTCTTGGATTGGTTGACATCTCAAAAGTTCGATCTTGCCTTTGCTTACATGGCGGATGCCTGCCCAATTGGTCTTGTTCACTACGCGAAAATACCTTCATGGATTTGGTTGAGCAGGTATTATATGACAACTACAGGAGCACTGTTCATATTGCCCACATAATTCAAATGCTAACATTATTTCAATAATGTTTTCCAGTGCTGGTTTGATAGATTTCGCGGCGTATTACACGGGAGCACCGATGATTCCTAGTTACATTCCACGTGGGTTTGCATGACTTTTGGGTATTCTGGAGCTCAGATTTGTATTCAGTTTAGAAGATATGTTCTTACTGCCTACATTCAGTGGTGCCTAAACTTACCAGGAGAAGGATGTTTGGTCGAAGTGGCCATTCGAGATGAGATGTATACCATCTGATGCGTTTTTGGAAGCTGATTACAAATCTGCATTCCATATCTGCTAAACGATTCTCTGAGCAGAGTTGTGCAGGTTTTTGACCTGGTCACCCCTATTTTCATCATGTATGTAAGGCACAAGACCCCCCCTAAATTC